ATGGATGGATGGATGGATGGATGGAAGAATAGATGATAGATAGATAGACCAGTGTTTTTCAACCTTTTTTGTGCAAAGGCACACTTTTTTCATGAAAAAAATCACGAGGCACACCACCATTAGAAAATGTTAAAAAAAATTAACTCTGTGCCTATATTGACTATATATAAAGTAATTCTCCCACGGCACACCTTACACTATGTCACGGCACACTAGTGTGCCGCGGCACAGTGGTTGAAAAACACTGCTCTAAAATACATGTATTTGTTGCAACCTCAAATAAAACCCCTATTGTTTAGAAGGATACAATTAAAGAACCACAGTTCAGAATCTGGGGGAAAAATGTATCTAAAATTTTAGACCCTCTACCTGTTAATGTTTTTGTAAGGGGGAAAGTCCAACAAAAATGATAGGAATACAGTCTAAATTCATTACCTGTTGAAGCTACAGGTGCACTGATTATGTGATATCCATTTTGTCGCAGAGGGTTACAGCAATGAGATTCCCCTGATAGCACATCATTACTGAAAGATGAGTCCATTGTTCTGTAGCAATCTCCGTAGTGGAAGCAATTTTGTATAGAGTGAAAGCTACCTTGGTAACCTGCAAACAGAGATTGTTCAGACATTTAGAAGAATGCAACCGGCTTCTTTCTGAAACTGATGCTCATTCAATAACCGATGCTAAGCAAAAGTCTGGCATCTGGCAAACACCCATTACCTGATTTGGTTTAACAAGGCTGCAAATAAATCAAGCAGCATATATTGCCCTTGATCAGATCTAATGGGTCACAATTGCCTAGTAAAGTTTTTAGATATATAAACAGGGATGTTTTTACTCCATTAATACCAAATGTTTTTCTGTCTTAGGGTGCAATGATGTTTCAGGCCAGGATTGTCTAATATGGTCAGCGTCATCTCTGTTGGCCCTTTATTTTTTTTTCTTTTTATAATGGAACAGCAATTTTGCTTTCAAATTATTTCTCTTTTTAACAGCCCTTTCCTTAAATTACTGCACTTCATCCAATATTATTTGAAGTTAAAGCTCACAGACTCTCATATTTACCATAACTATTATCTTCTCAGTTTGTATGGTTCTAATTTTTACCTATTGTTAGCATTTGCAGTCATAGTGGACTGTTTAAAAGGTCCAACACAGAAACTAAACAGCATGTTTGGCAGATACAATAACTGGGTTATAAATTGGCTTTGCCAATTACAGTGTTTTAGAGTGATTACAAGTTATGCTGTGGAGAAAAGACAATCCAGTGAAACCTTTTTGTTGTTGTTGTTTTATGATAGCATGTCTACAGTGAGATTTTTGTACAGAGGTATCTACCGCTTAAAAGAATATTCCTTTTGCATTGAAGGAATTTTTTTTTTGTTTCTTTTTATTTTCAGGCTATCCAAGCAACTTCCCTTGGTTGTTCTTGTTCTGAAAACATTGCTCCCAACCTACTGTAAGAACAATCCAATTTGGTTAACTCTTCAAGTTAACTCTCCCTCTGTCTTCAGAATTAATACCAATGATGAGTGATGTCACAGTACAGAAGTGAGCTTTCAAATGGGCCTTGCCTGCACTTAACCTAGTTATTTCCATCGACAATGAACTTTTTGTTTTTGTTATTCCATTTATTTTTAATTATTCACAATTTGTTGAGCCTGTGTGCCAAGTAAGTACCTTTCAAAACGTAACAGATGGCAACAGTAGGAGCTTAAAGTGAGGTTCAAAACCTATAACTATAGTGCAATTAACTACCATGTGTGGTTTTGTACAAAAATCTAAGGAGATTTCTAAAAGATCCACATTTAAACTCCCATGGGGCTAAAATATGTGAACCATTCCCTTAAACTGTGTACCATAAAATGTCTATCCTCTGCTACATTTGCTTGGCAAAGAAAATTCACAAAACATTTATATTTGTGTTAAGAAATGTAGTACATATTGGCAGGCATAGCTAAGCTGACATTCACACTGCCGCCACCACCAGGTCCACCACATGGATTGCAGGCATTCCTTCAGTTTCTCAGATTTAAATCAAATCAGTGGCAGCTAATTTCTAAAGAAGAATTTCCTAAACATGCTGTCAGTTTAAATGATCCCTGTTAAATATTTTATGTGGAATTAAATATAGAAATACAACAGTTAATAAAGGAATCAACCATGTTCCAAACGTAACATTCAGTTATAATTTTGCTGTATGTGACACATAAAAAAGCTGTACTTAACCACATCATAAAGTATGCTCGGTGCTCCTATTTCCCTCAAGCCTCAGCCAAAAAATCTGAAGCCCTTTTAAACGAATGATATAATGAGTAAATGTATTGGAATATGCCTCCTAAATGCAATTCGTTTGTGTCATTCCTTTTAATGTATGAATATAAATAAGTCAAACTCATCAAATTATATACTTTCTATGCAAATATATCATGTAAGATATAAATAGATGTACTATTTTATTTGATTGCCAAAATTCTTTCAATTTATAATAATTTCCATCTGGATCTTACTGCAGTTGAAGTCATAAATTCTACTAGAGTTTTGTTCTCCCCCATTGTCTATGCATTCATATCCCTAACATGTCCAGAAATAGTTTGTTTGAGTTACTGTACCAAAAACAGAGTAGAAATACAAATATGCCTTTTCATTTACAATGGCTTTATAATTGATTTTGCAGTTGGATGAGTGTTCTTTAAAATTTGTAGGCTTAAATTGAGTATGTATGTCTCCTGGCAGATGTTGATTAAAAATGCATTCAGCTTAAGAACTGGATCTGAAATTATTAACAGAAACAGAGTGACATTACCACAAATGGCATTTAAAATAACATGTTGATGTTTGTCTGAGTTGACAATTACTACTTTTAAAAAACCCTATGACACAGAACAATTAGGGAAGTGCTGTCTTCTTCAAAAGCCCCAATTCAGGCATTTTTTTCTTTCGTTACACTCATAAGCAACTAAATTTTATCCTTGACTTTCCATGGTTACTAGCTTTTAGTGATGCAGGTGCCTTCTCAAACTGGCACCTTTCAAATGTGTTGGAGATAATTTCTCTTATCGCAACGAATCTGTTGGATTGATAAACCTGCGTATCTCTAAACTGCCAGATTGAGATAATGAATTTTGTTTATTATTAATTTTTTAGGTTTCATTTATTATAGAAACAAATAATGTGTTGCAACAACTTCCATTTTCTTTTTTTATGTATAGCTTAGTTTATATATAGCTTATATAATTTATGTATATATATATGTTTATATGTTTATATAAGCTTATATATAGCTTATACAGCTTACCTTTTCATTGACAAAATGTAGTTTATTAATGTGTTATTAATGTGTTATAGCCTTAGGCTTTCAAATTTGGATATATCAAAAGTTTGAATTACCTTACCAAAACAAAGGAAAAGCTTTTCAAACCTGCTTTCATTCTTTCAATGGGCAAGTGGGGAAAAGAAACAGAAGTTCTTGCAGGTTGCATTTGGAAAAGAAGCCTTAAGACTGTCCTTAATTAAAAGTACAACCACAATTGAAACCATAATTTGTGTTGTTGAGAGAAGCAGACGCTAAGTGAGATGCTACATGACTGCTTTGCTTAATAACCACAATTCTGGCACTCCTGGGTTGTGGTTGTTAAGCAGATGTCTGGGTTGTTAAGCAGACAAAGTCCCAGGTAAGGAATATGGGGCGAATCAGGGAGGTGGGGGAGATCCTAGGATCCACTCTGGTGCTGATAAAGCTCCTTGCAAGCAGGATTTTCAGCACTAGACCAGAGAGACATTCGTGCATGGCATATGCTGGATCTCCCAAGGTCACTTGCACCTGCTTGAGGCAGCCCGTGATCTTTACATTACTACTCCCTCTCTGCACTGGCATCTGCTGAAATTCAAGCAGACAATTGCTGAGAAACAATGGGAATTCACTGAAATAGGGTTGCAGAGGAGCCTTGTCTTCCAGCAAAGAAACAGAGAATTGCTGTTTCCAAAAGTCCAGCTGGTACTATTGTGTAGCACCAGCTCCTCTCCATCTCCCTCTTTCTTTTCATCCCCTCATTTTCTCCTTGCCCTCTGGCTGTTCTCCCTCTCTCTTCCTCCTCCCTTCTTCCATCCTTTATTCTGCTCTTTCATTCACTCTTACCCCTTCTCTCTTTTACACATGCACGATCTTCTTCCCATTCCTGAGCAGATTAGATTCCTAGAGGAATAAGCAGACTGGCTTTGGCCAGTCCTAGAGAGGTGGATCTGTCTCCTCCCTCAAAATCCACTTGATGGACTTGCTTCCTTTCTAGGAATCCTCTTGTGGAACTGATTCCTCTATGGAATTCGCTTTTCCTCCCCTGCTCCCTCCTGTTCCGCTGTGTCATTCTTGCTATCCAGGCCAAAGGCACAGGTGCTTTTCCAGGGGGAGATGGGCGTTGGCATTTCAGCCACTCCTAAGCAATTACACATATGGAGATTTAGTGTCCTTGGATTTTGGCAGGTGCCTGAATGGACAGGTAGCAGTAATGTAAGGAGCAAGAACTGCCTCTGGCAGGTAGAGGGGAGCGCTTGGCATAGAAAATTTGATATAGCATTTTTTCCAAGGCTGTCATCGCTTTGAAAGATTGTTATGCTATAGATCGCTGAGGACTACCTGTAAATCAAAACAATCTGAAATCTTTCCATTTCTTAGCTTTCTGCAAGTTTAGCTCTAATCTGGTGCTGAAAGGTTTCTTTCTGAAAGAAGTTGAATTGCTTATTAGTATATTTTCTCCAAAAATTGATTGTTGATTTTGTAAAGTTTCCCCCCGCCCCACAAGAACAAAGATAAATCAAAGGTTAAGAACTAGCTGTATTTCCAGCCACAATTTAACTACTGAATCAATATAGTAATGTAGTTTCTTACATGCTAATTTTACAGTATACTCAATCAAATTCTCTGACACACTGATCACTTGTTATATACTGAATGAAAATATTCTTGGCTGGTTAATAGTTCAGGACTTCATGCACCTACTCCCCTATTTTAGCTAATACTTTGTATAGACCTATCTAAGTTACTAAATCTGTCCAAAAGCAGGCTAAAAGCAGGTTCACAAAAACAAATAAATGGGAAATGGAATGCTTGAACAACGATTCAGCCAACAACAGCCAGCAGTGGTCAATTGTAGCATTCAAGAAAACTTCCTTTAAAAATTGAAGACATCACTAGTTGCTTGCTCTTACAATATTTTTCCTCCTCAGCATATAAGCAACTATTGCATTTGAATGTGTCAAAATGTGTACTTTATTTGCAAACATTCATTCATCTCACGAACAGTGGCTACTTCTTTTCAGTAAAAATGCTCTATTTTTATTACAAAATAGAAAATACACTTTCCATTTATTATAGTCTATTATACCAATGAGAGGGGTGAGGTTAAGATGCTGGGCTTGTCAGCTGGAAAGTCGACAGCCCAGATTCGAGACCTAAGTAATGCGCGATGGAGTGAGCTCCTGTTATTTGCCCCAGGTAGAGTACCATAAGTACCACTTTGGTGAGAGGTCTGTGTGCCTTGACATGCTGGCCACATGATCATAGAAACATCTTCGTACATGACTGGACAAAGGAAATCTTTACTTTTTCCTTTATTATGCCAATGACTCTATGTATACTATTTCTGCTTCATACAAAAATATAAAATATTTGTCATGTTACTTTCTAAAGCATGACATTAAATGATCCAAATGGTTCCCTCTAACCTGATGCTCATCAGCATGAATGACATCTCCAATAATTGAAGCACAGGTCCCATAATCAGCCAAAGCTCATAGTATTTGGGATTATATACAAGATGCTGTTGAATGCTAAATTAGGCATTATGAGAAACACAGAGGATCCACAGAAAACAGTAAGCACATGTGGCTTTCCTACTCATAATGATAATAATACAACAAGCTATATAGTCTAAAGTCATTTCATTTCATACGTCCCCATTTTTATCCAGATTATAAAATGGCAAAGATAATAATAATGTCAAGGCACGGTTAACTTTCACTATACTTTGGTTAATTTGGCTCAGAGAGTGGATTAGTGTATGTGTTTTACATTTCTTTATGCATGGTGCAATCTTCTATAAATATATGTATGGGATTACCTTGTGGCCCCTGCTGTGTAGATTGGTTTGGAAACGGCACATATAATTTATTTGTTGAGAAATGATGCCCGTTTGGAGACTGGCTATGTGATGGTGATGAGCTGTGTTTCTGAAGGAGGGAAGGAGCAACTACAGCTTTCAGTGGACTCGCAAGAGCATTTGGGACTATCCTGGAACCAGAAAAGAGAGAGAAAAAAAGATCAGTTGGCTTTCATCTCATCGTTGGTGCTCCATAAATGACAGCTTTTTTTAAAAAAATAATTTTATTAATTATGTGGATTGAAAAGTACAGGATAACTAAAAATTCTTCTATAAAGCATTGACTTGAACATATTCCAGGAGACACATAAATAGAGATTACCATTTTAGTGACATATTTCTGCATTTTATTGGGTAAAATAAAGTTAATTATATTTTATTTTGCTGTAATTCTGTCCATATGGAATTCAAAGCTATCATCTATGTAATCCATTAAACCATTATTTCTCTTTTCATATTCTTCAAGTGGCTCAGCATGTGCCTAATGCTGTTCTTCATATGGAAGCTATTTAAAGTTGAAGCCTATATATATATATATAAGTAAGAAAAAGGCTTGGAGCAGAAGCCTTTATCATTAAGGCTACTCTCATGCACAAATGATACAGGTCTTCGACTCACAACTGCAATTAGGACCCAGATTCTGGTCTTAAGTCAGCCACCCACATTACTGGAATCAATTTTCTCACCATTTTTATAATGGTCATTAAGTGAATCACATAGTTGTTAAGCTACTCATAAGTGAGAAGCCATTCTCCCAAACAGGTTTTTTTGGCAAAAACAAGCAAAAAAAATGCGAGCATGGAGGGTGTGGTATGACATTTTGCAACAGCCAGAAGTGCTTTGCATGCCATAAGCCACTCTTTCTGAAGGCGTTCTAACTCCAAACGGTCATTAAACAACTAGCTGTAACTCAAGGACTACCTGAAATTGGGGTATGAGTTCATCAGGAAGAATCTCAGGAAACAAATCTTTGCTATGGAGCATCAAATTGGGCATAGTCTTATTTTTACTGATTTTTTATTGGGCAGCCAACTTTGATAAGCCTTCTAGACAGCTTAATCTGATTACGACCAAATTGCAAAGAGTTTTAATGTTCATACACTGTAATGCCTTGGAAACTGTTTCTGGGAAGAGAGACAAAATCTCATATTGTAAGCACATTTGTTACAGTACATTAGGAACCACTGAAATAATACCCCCCTCAATAAGAACCCAGGTCTACAACACAAATGCTCAATATCTAAGTTGTAGTGATTTTTTACATTTCAATTATGTTTTAGCTGATCAGGGTAATTATATTATCTTGTACTGTTATCAGGTTTTGTTTAAAAACTGGCAAGGTTCAACAGGATCCCAGCAGGAACAGTGTGACTTGATTAAATAAATTTCACATTTAGTAGTAGTAGAAGCAGCAGCAGCAATAATAGTAATAATAATGTTTTTTTATTATTACCCTTTTATTTATCTGTTTCTAACTATATTTACGTTTTTTTTTTCATTTAAGCCTTAGTGTTAATACAGATAGTCCTAAACTTACAACAGTTAATTTAGTGACCGTTCAAAGTTACAACACTGAAAAAAGTGACTTGTGACCTTTTGTCACACATAACAGCCTTTTACAGCATCTTCATGGTCATATGATCAAAATTAAGAAACTTGCCAACTGACTCATATTTATGACGGTTGCAATGTCCTACGATCATGTAATTCTCTTTTGCATCCATCTGACAAGCAAAGTCAATGGGGGAGTTGATTCACTTAACAACCATATTACTAATTTAATAACTGTCATGATTCACGTAACAATTGTATTAAGAAAGGTTGCAAAATGGAGCAAAATTCACTTAACAAATGTCTCACTTAGAAACAGAAGTTTTGGCCTCAATTGTGGTCACAAGTCGAGGACTACCTGTAGTTTCAGTACTCAAAGTAGTTTACCTAAGCTAAGAAAATATAACTTTGCGGGCTGCGTTCAATTTATCTTCCATTTAAAATAACATAAATGAAAGAAAAAAATAATTAAAGCAAAATTTTACGTCCATGTTTTTGAACATGATTCACAACTGAAGTAAAGTTCTTTGACTTTAACTAATAATTTTATAAAACCAAAGGGTTTCCTCCATTCACTTAGGGAAAAAAGTACTGTATATCTGAACTCTGCCAAGTATACTTAGCACTATTGTAATAAAAGAGGCTCAGGACTATTACAAGAGGGCTAGAGGTGGGTTAATTTATTGAAAATTTAACAAGCTTTTACAAATATTTCCCTCCCCACCCCCTCCCCCCCCTCCCAAGAACCAATACAGGGTATAAATCTTTAACAATCATATTCTAAAGTGAACTAAAAAAAAACTTTAGCATCATCCTCATTTGTACTTTAACTCCTCTTTTGTTAAGCTACTCTAAACAAGTTATGTCATTCCTTGCTTCTTCAGTCAAAAGCTATCTGTAGTTTCTTAGTACTATATTTATTTTGAATATAATCAATCCATTTTCTCCATTCCAGCTTATATTTCTCATCTGAATAGTCCTTAAGATATGCTGATATTTTAGCCATCTCTGATAAGTTTGTTACTTTTAACGTCCATTCTTGAATAGTAGGCAAATCTTCCTTCTTCCAGTACTGAGCCACCAACAGTCTTGCTGCCGTTGTTAGGTTCAAAATCAAATTAGTCTCTATGACAATACAATCAGTAGTTATACCTAACAAGAATAACTGAGAGGTAAACTTTATCCTCTTTTTAAAAATATTTTGCATAATCCACCATATTTTTATCCAAAGTACGCCATCTTGATTTTCTGTTCTGCACATGCACAAACAATCTTCATTGAAAAAATGTAACCCCACCCCCTTTTAAATGTTGTGCATATGAGCAGACCTTTTTAAGTGCAAATACACATGGACAATTTTTTTGGGGTGCCGAACCGGTAGTAATGCCGGGAGGAACCCACCCCTGAAGAGGGCATACATGGAACAAAACAAACTGAAATGGGCTTATTCTGGATAGAAGTTGTTTACAGGGCAGGAAACAATGGGAGAAAATCAAGGCTGGCTGAAGGGAGGCAGGGAGAGCAGAGGAGGCCTCAAAAAGAACGGGGGTGGGGCAAGACAACACAAGGAAGACTCACAATACATCACTTCATTTTTGATTTCCTATATTAGCCTGTGAACCGGTTACCAATTTAAGATTTTATGAACTCTATACACTTAATAACTGTGGCTAATAGTGAGCCTCTTTTTGTCTTTAAAATGGATTAGAAACCAGTGTAAAACATTTCATTTCCTGGGATCATTGCAGTCAGCAACAGGCGTATTTCAGACCCACACAAACTGAAATATCTTGGATTTTATCCCTGCCTTTGTCTGACTTGAAATGGTTCAGCAGAGCTTATGGATTAGTTTGTTCTGGTTTGAAACAAAACAGATTCTCCATGTCATGCACATCATAAAGTCCTACGTTTGCGCAACCACACTCTCCAAAGGATTTTTTGTGTTGCACACACTGCTACATACACAAGAACCATCACTATATTCAATATGCTCAGAAACAAGGAAACAAAATATTGTACTGTGCTCCCCATAATTAGCATGCTTTCCCATGGTTAAAATGTTAGTGCCTCCATATTTGAATGGCTATATGAAAGTTTGTTGTCATGTAGGATGCCACTGCCAACCTAAATCCTATGCACAATACAACAATCCCAGATTTTTGCAGAGGTTATACATTAATATAGCACGGTAAATCCTTCAGAAGAGCAGAAAAAACTAAGCCATCATTATTTTATGATTTAACAGAGGTTTATTTTTAATTCAATTTCTTTACAGTAAAAGAGAGGAGAAAGATAAATAGAGGTGGAGGTGATGATCATGAGGATTGGAAGAAGGCTATTCAAATATTTAAACTTGTCACTATGATCCGTGATCTCATTAAGAGGCATTCCCCTAGCCATTAAATTAGCTTTGAAGGCTTTCTTTCCTCTTTACACCTGTTGCCCTTCAGACTGCATCTATATTTTTTTCGAATGGAATAGAATAGAGTAGAATTCTTTATTGGCCAAGTGTCATTTGACATACAAGAAATTTGTCTCTGGTGCATAAACTCCCAATGTACTTACAAGCCACCAAGTAAGATAATCATAAGATACCAATAGGAGAAGGTAGTAGGAAAGATGAGAAGGATAATAGTAATACAGCCGTAAGACAGTGCTGTGGGAATTAGATGTTTAGCAGAATGATGGCACAAGAGGAAAAAACCTGTCTCTGTCTCTTAATTGTTTTGACATTTAATGGTCTCTAGTGGCGTCCCAAGGGGAGGAGTTGAAGCAGTTTATGTCCCGGGTCTGCAGATATTTTCTCAGCCCTCTTTCTGATCCGTGCAGTAGACAGGTCCCCTCAATGGAAGACAGGCTTTTATTATTTTTGAGTGATGGCTCTGCAGTGTTAGAGGATAAAATGTGTTTTTGTAGAAACCATTTGGGCAATTATCTTTTATGCAGATGTCATGCCTGTTCAGTGTTGGAAGAAAAAGAGAAACCTTCTGCACAATAGCATTTTCCTCTCTATAAAGGCTGCAATGGGTGAAGGTCATTGTGATCTATATTACTGGAAATCCAGGGGTCAGAAGTCCACAATGGAGTCCCAAAATTTTGTTGCTAAGCGAGACAGTTGTTAAGTGAGCTTTGTCCCATTTTATGATTTTTTGCCACAATTGTTAAGTGAATCACCACAATTATTAAGTTAGTAACATGATTGTTAAGTGAATCCGGCTCCTTCATTGACTTCGCTTGTCAGATGGTCACAAAATAGGATCACATGACCTTGGAACACTGCAACTATCATAAATATGAGTCAGTTGCCAAGCATGTGAATTTTGACCACGTGACCATGGGGATACTGTAATGGTCGTAAGTGTAAAAACTGGCCGTAAGTCACGTTTTTCAATGACCTTGTAACTATGAACAGCCACTAAACAAACAGTTGTAAGTCGAAGACTACCTGTATACATATCTTCATATGTTGTTATAAGTATGTTGTACTTTTTATGTTTTGTAGCATATTTTACTGCTGGAGTTTTAAAATGCAGCCAAGAGTCTCAATAAATCTGCTGTATGCAAATGTCATAATAAAATA